ACAAAGTATGCAAAGTTTGAAAGCCGTAGTCCTTGTAGTTTCAGTGCAGCAGATTTTGGGAGAAAAGCAGTCAGGATTTTGCTGAAAAACATTACCAAAAACTTGAATCCAAAATAGCGGCCAAACGGTGCATTTTAGCGACTCGACCGGTCAAGGCGAAATTGTAGACATTTTGATTGCGGATCTGCTCAAAGACATTTGGTAGTCATTGGATCAGTAGTTTTGCAGATATCTGCTGCTGAAATTGATTTTTTTTAATTGATTTTGATTTATCTGCCCTTTGCTATGGGGCCTAGTAAGCTGGATTTTTGATATGCACCAGTTCATGTTGATGCGCATCTACATGAATTTTTTCGACAGTTTCTGTCCAGCGGTGCTTTTTGTACGAGTGGAACAAAATACGGCGGAATAATAAATAATAATAAAAACATTAACGATTCCAATAGGTCTCCTGCTTTGCAGCGAGGGAGCCCCTAATTACAAATCGTTATTTTTGAGTTTTTCGGGGTTTTGACCCCGGAACTTGATAGTATATCAAAAATGCTTTCTAATGGTCAAGGTCACGAAGGTCACGGGGGTCAAGGTCATTTGACTGGTCCGTCACAAGACAAAAACACGTTTTTTGGCGAGCTAATACGCCGTTGTTATTACATCTAGGCTGAAAGGAATTAGTGTTTCTGCTTTGCCCAGACCCGATGTATCATATAGGCAGGTCAGATTTGGTGAGACATATGTCCGCCATCTGTCCGCATGTATGTCCGTCAAAATACTGTATAGTTAGTTTCTCCGGAACTATGAAACGCACAGAGTTGAGATTTTGCACACAGCATTCCCTTAACTGTGTCTAATAATGCTGTAAAAATCAAGTCATTTGATTTCAACTTTTGTTTTGTAAAACCGTGAAAAATGAAAAACTTCAATCCAAGATGGCGGCCAAACGGTTAAAGATATCGAATTTTCGACCCCGCCCAAAATGATCGGCATCTCATGACCAAGTCATATACCAAATATGGAAGCGATTGGGGCAATAGTAGTGGAGCTATATGCTGTTTTATGCCGTTTTGGGGTACATAATGCATTTCTGCAATTTTTAATGCCATATGGCCGCCAAACGATCAAACTTTTGATATGCATGTAAGAACACGAAATGTTAAACATCTTATGTTGATGCGTAGTGCCAAGTTTCACTGCGTTCTGTGCAAAACCTGAGCAGCTATGTTGTTTATAAAGTAGTATCATTAGAATCTGCCGAAATCCAATATGGCCGCCAAACAATTCACATTTTGACATGCACCCAAGAACAAAAAATGTTCAACACACTGAGTTACTACGTATTGCCAGATTCTAGCTGCATAGTTGAAATAGTAATGACGCTGCGAGTTTTGAAAATACATTTTAGTACAAAATAAACAACAGAAGCAAACATCTAGATATTCGTAACCAATGAAGATATCGCAACATAGCTCGAGATTATACATATGTGAGGTATATAATCTATATCTACAAATTTGCAGCGTTCTGCAGCTAATACATTTAAAGTTATGGATTGCAAAAAATGCATACCCACAAAAAAACTGCAAATTTACTTTAAAACATCTTCAATGCAATATGACCGCCGCATCACGTGACTTTTGACATAGGACCAAGAACAGAAATTGTTCAGCAACCAAAGGCAACTTCAGAACAAGCGTTTAAAGTGTTGTATGTGCTAAGTTTGGTTTGGCACAAAATCGCAAAGAAGCCCGTGGTAGTTTTGAAGACAATTTTTGCCAGAAGTAGCATCCAATATGGCGGCCATCATATCCACATAGCCACATTTGACGATGCCGCTGTGTAGGTAGTTGCATAGACACAAAGTATGCAAAGTTTGAAAGCCGTAGTCCTTGTAGTTTCAGTGCAGCAGATTTTGGGAGAAAAGCAGTCAGGATTTTGCTGAAAAACATTACCAAAAACTTGAATCCAAAATAGCGGCCAAACGGTGCATTTTAGCGACTCGACCGGTCAAGGCGAAATTGTAGACATTTTGATTGCGGATCTGCTCAAAGACATTTGGTAGTCATTGGATCAGTAGTTTTGCAGATATCTGCTGCTGAAATTGATTTTTTTTAATTGATTTTGATTTATCTGCCCTTTGCTATGGGGCCTAGTAAGCTGGATTTTGATATGCACCAGTTCATGTTGATGCGCATCTACATGAATTTTTTTCGACAGTTTCTGTCCAGCGGTGCTTTTGTACGAGTGGAACAAAATACGGCGGAATAATAAATAATAATAATAAAAACATTAACGATTCCAATAGGTCTCCTGCTTTGCAGCGAGGAGCCCTAATTACAAATCGTTATTTTTGAGTTTTTCGGGGTTTTGACCCCGGAACTTGATAGTATATCAAAAATGCTTTCTAATGGTCAAGGTCACGAAGGTCACGGGGGTCAAGGTCATTTGACTGGTCCGTCACAAGACAAAAACACGTTTTTTGGCGAGCTAATACGCCGTTGTTATTACATCTAGGCTGAAAGGAATTAGTGTTTCTGCTTTGCCCAGACCCGATGTATCATATAGGCAGGTCAGATTTGGTGAGACATATGTCCGCCATCTGTCCGCATGTATGTCCGTCAAAATACTGTATAGTTAGTTTCTCCGGAACTATGAAACGCACAGAGTTGAGATTTTGCACACAGCATTCCCTTAACTGTGTCTAATAATGCTGTAAAAATCAAGTCATTTGATTTCAACTTTTGTTTTTGTAAAACCGTGAAAAATGAAAAACTTCAATCCAAGATGGCGGCCAAACGGTTAAAGATATCGAATTTTCGACCCCGCCCAAAAATGATCGGCATCTCATGACCAAGTCACATACCAAATATGGAAGCGATTGGATCTATAGTAGTGGAGCTATATGCTGTTTTATGCCGTTTTGGGGTACATAATGCATTTCTGCAATTTTTAATGCCATATGGCCGCCAAACGATCAAACTTTTGATATGCATGTAAGAACACGAAATGTTAAACATCTTATGTTGATGCGTAGTGCCAAGTTTCACTGCGTTCTGTGCAAAACCTGAGCAGCTATGTTGTTTATAAAGTAGTATCATTAGAATCTGCCGAAATCCAATATGGCCGCCAAACAATTCACATTTTGACATGCACCCAAGAACAAAATGTTCAACACACTGAGTTACTACGTATTGCCAGATTCTAGCTGCATAGTTGAAATAGTAATGACGCTGCGAGTTTTGAAAATACATTTTAGTACAAAATAAACAACAGAAGCAAACATCTAGATATTCGTAACCAATGAAGATATCGCAACATAGCTCGAGATTATACATATGTGAGGTATATAATCTATATCTACAAATTTGCAGCGTTCTGCAGCTAATACATTTAAAGTTATGGATTGCAAAAATGCATACCCCACAAAAACTGCAAATTTACTTTAAACATCTTCAATGCAATATGACCGCCGCATCACGTGACTTTTGACATAGGACCAAGAACAGAAATTGTTCAGCAACCAAAGGCAACTTCAGAACAAGCGTTTAAAGTGTTGTATGTGCTAAGTTTGGTTTTGGCACAAAATCGCAAAGAAGCCCGTGGTAGTTTTGAAGACAATTTTTGCCAGAAGTAGCATCCAATATGGCGGCCATCATATCCACATAGCCACATTTGACGATGCCGCTGTGTAGGTAGTTGCATAGACACAAAGTATGCAAAGTTTGAAAGCCGTAGTCCTTGTAGTTTCAGTGCAGCAGATTTTGGGAGAAAAGCAGTCAGGATTTTGCTGAAAAACATTACCAAAAACTTGAATCCAAAATAGCGGCCAAACGGTGCATTTTAGCGACTCGACCGGTCAAGGCGAAATTGTAGACATTTTGATTGCGGATCTGCTCAAAGACATTTGGTAGTCATTGGATCAGTAGTTTTGCAGATATCTGCTGCTGAAATTGATTTTTTTTAATTGATTTTGATTTATCTGCCCTTTGCTATGGGGCCTAGTAAGCTGGATTTTTGATATGCACCAGTTCATGTTGATGCGCATCTACATGAATTTTTTCGACAGTTTCTGTCCAGCGGTGCTTTTTGTACGAGTGGAACAAAATACGGCGGAATAATAAATAATAATAATAATAATAATAAAAACATTAACGATTCCAATAGGTCTCCTGCTTTGCAGCGAGGAGCCCTAATAATAAAAACATTAACGATTACAATAGGTCTCCTGCCTAAAGGCAAAGGAGCCCTAAAATAGCCCTGAGACTTTCTTCATTTTCAGAAGCTGTGGAAATCTAGACTTGCAATATTTTCTAGACTTGCGTGGGCTTCCTTGGATATATTTGCTTCAGGGTCTGTATGACAGACTAATATACAGTGATCATGTCAAGACACAACTTCCCCAGGATAGACATTGTGAGGTTTAAATTATTATTAGGTATTCCGTGATATTGTTATTGATATTCGAAGTATATAGAGCAGAATAGTAATTCTGGATCAAGACATTACGAACAGAGAAATAGAAATCATTATGTAAAATATATTTCTACTGACGACGTTTAATGTTTCTGCGTCCATGTTATCAATCGCATATGTAATAGTTGACTGAAAACGATCTTTGTTAACTCTAAATTTGATGATGCAAAGGTACATTGCAATGATAAATCCAATCAACCCTGATCAGTTCTGCGGTTCTAGTTCGCACGCATACGTTATCGAACATACCCATTTCAATAGCGCCTGTTAATTGTGAGTATTTGAACTGCCTCGCCTTGGCAATGTATCTCTGGTCTATTCTTAGCTCATTGAGCAAGTCCAACAACCTATATAACATACACGTGACAGACCATGCGCTTACAGAACGCACAAGGGAGGTAATCGCTGCTTAGCTTGTAACACCAGTTTGCATGCCTACCAGTACTGACAAGCTGTGAGTATTCTCAGGTCGAAATGCTTGGCGGGTTTAATTTCTGTTTTCCAATCGGATTTGGCTTTACAGAAAAACGGATTTTATTTTATTTGAATGTGAAGATATCTGTGATGTTGATGTGAAACGATGGGATCTGGATCTAGTAAAGAAAGGACAGGTGGGGTTGATACGAGGGGAGGGAGCTCAAAACCAGTGACTGTTGCTAATGTAAATAACAACGTACCTGTTAAGTCCACGACGGGTCTTTCCAAAAGCGGAATCAATACGGACACCGGAACGACGACTCAATCGCCGACGAAATCCCCCGTCAAAGACTCCAGTGTTGACAAGACTACTACGGAACGTTCTCCAAGTAAAGCAGTTAAAACTGACTCTAAAACCTCCAATAAATTAGAATGGAATAGTGACTCCGACCTCGACGATGATGATGAATGGGACGACTTCCTTGGAACGACAACTTCAAAACCAGTGCCAAAAACAGACTCAAAGGTGTCCCACAGGGAACAAGAGCAGAACTCTGTTAACGAAATCAAGTCCCAGGAACTGTATCCCGAGACCTACGCACAGCGCCATACGAGACAACAGTACACATTCGGGCAGGATAGGTTGATTCGAGAGAAGACGATCTACAGGAACCCAGACGAGTGGGTCGTAGACGAAGAGAAGGAAGAAGAAAAGGTAGGGGAGAAACCTTTCTTTCTTAACAGGCAGACGTTTGTTTGCAGTACATTGGGCCATAATACAAGCATGTCTGTATTAATGAAACTAATGAAACGGTAATATGTAAAAATATATAAAATGATTATGGTGCAAATCATCCAACATTTTATTAAAGGGATTATCTTTATGTTCAAATGAGTGTCATAGATGAAATAAGATATTCTTTTTTGTCTATATTTTTTCAATATAGTAAGTTGAATGGTCAACTCATTTTTCATCATAAAATTTAAAGTAGATAATACAAGTTCAGTAAAGAAATATAATGAAACTTGCTTGGGCTAACATTGCGTGTCACCGTAGATCCCCATTAAAACGATTTGAGGTAATTTACTTTAATATAATGATACCCTCTGGACGTATGGCCATATATAGCTCGGGCTCGCCATGTGCACATTGTAGTTGGGGAGACATTAGCCCTCCTCGACATGATTATATAATGTATGATAATATAAAATAGCCGGTTATTCGATAATACTCTGTAATCCTATATCACAGCTCAATCAAACAAACATAAAACATATTAGCGATTAGTTCAACGAATCTTGAAACTATGTAAATGATTGCGAATGTGAGGTTACCTAACATTCAAAGAGCATAGGTATTTTAGGCCTATTCACACCTGTGGTATTGCATTTTGTTTATGGGCCTTAATGTATGAATATATTTCTATCTATTCAGACAATCATTAATTTGTTCTCAATATTTCTGGTGGTATAATACATTTCCGTTGTTGTACATTTGATGTGTATCTTTTTAACTTGATATATGTGGATATACGTGTGGGTTTCGTAGTGTAAACTTCAGCGAAGGAACATTGTGTGACTGGTTCTGTTTTATCCCAACGCAACTGGCAGGGAACAGTTGAGGTATGTATTGCTCCACAGCACGGTCACAACAGTACGGCATATTATTTAGTTATCACACAAAAATATGTATTGCCAGCTCCTTGCACTGTCAACTGATTGCACGCATGTTAACACGTGCGCTTGTTTATCATATATTGATTGACTACCGTCAACCAAGGTTTATACCACATTTATAGCAACCGGGGTTGACAAGAATCAACCTCTCTAGCCAGTGTCAATCTCAAGGATAATAAATCGGGCATACGTGTAGTGTACTGACCGACATACTGAACAAATCACCAATAATCTCATTTTAGTCTAAGTTTAAACATAAGAGTGAGTGAGCGAGTTTAGTTTTACGCCGCACTCAGCAATATTCAAGCTATATGGCGGCGGTCTGTAAATAATCGAGTCTGGATCAGACAATCCAGTGATCAACAGCATGAGCATCGATCGGCGCAAGTGGGAACCGATGGCACGTGTCAACCAAGCCAGCTAGCCTGACCACCCGATACCGTTAGTCGCCTCGTACGACGAGCATGGGTTACTGAAGGTACATTCTAACCCGGACCTTTACGGGTATTTAAATATAAGAAACTAAGAGGATCGTTATATTCATCCTTTATGGGAAGAAGGACTTTGGCAATTTCTACACTTGAGAATCGGCACCAAATTTCGGGAATTTCACCGAAGCACAGTGCAACTACATAATGATTACACAATAGTCAAATAGTTCGACTGAAACGCATTTATTTCTACGAATAGTAAACGATACCGAGTTCTGATATGTACTCTGACATGTTCAGTTTACTTCCAGTGCGCCAATTTAGGGACAGTTACAGAGTGGGAATGCTTAAAAATCTTCAACTCCATGTAATGGCATAAAAAGATTCTACAGCGGGCTATTCAACGTGCAAGTATATATGAACAAATGTATTTACAACAACCAATACGTTACGCATTGGCGGATCCAGAGGGGGGTGTGGGTGTGGGGTGTGTGTTCAGGTGGTTCGAACCCCCCTTTTGAAAATGACTTAAGACCATTGAGGATTTTTTTTTGCGTTGGCGGAGCCAAATGGGGGGTTCAGGGGGTTCGAACCCCCTGAACCCCCCCTTTTCAAAATTCCTGGATCCGTCCATGTTACGTGTACAGTTTAACAGAATCACAAATCTGATTATCCCTTTATAAGGGACTGTTAATAATTTATGGCTTGGGGGTGGGGGTGATGATGATTTTAAAGGGGGGGTGGGTGGGTGGTTGTGTCAACCATTTTGTTCTGGGGGAGCTTGGGGGGTCAGCAATTTTGTACACACGTACTAGAGGGGGGGTCAGCAATTTTGTACATAAAAATATGTTTAAAATTGTGCTTAGAAATTATGGGAAGAGGAGAGGGGGTCATTGATTTTGTACATGACATGCAGGGGGTGGGGTTCACTTATTTTGTACATATATTTTAGGGGTGGTCATTCATATTGTACATGCTTCTCCATAAAAATCATCATCACACACACACAGACACACAGCCATAAATTATGAACGGTCCCTAAAGCTGAGTGGTATAGAAATGTGCACAATGTGATACACTCGAAACTGCACCATTTACCTATATTCATCACGCATGCCTAGCATAAGATATCACGTTTAGCTGTACACACACTGTAAACCAGTAACATGATTTATGAGTGGTTTGAAGCTGAACCATAAAATAATGACCTTTCATTGCCCTGTCGTGCTTGGTGAACGCGATGCAACGATAAGACTGGATACGGGGTGCCCGTGTGAAAAACACCTAGGAAATACTACCTGGTGTAGAAAAACTTCCGAAATTCTTACCGACCCAATTCCTTGTGCATCGTGTCCTTAGAATAAGTCATATTCTCCTTATATGGCAGTCTGTGGTGACTGGTGACCAGTGAAGCAGTCTGTACAAATATACCATTTGCACATTTAAGCCCAACGCCGAGGGCAGCTAATACGTGTGCCAACCAGTATCATGTAAAGGGTTACCCTTAGTCTCATGTTCTCACTCCTGAATTCCATACATTACTGTAAGAGGCTCCAGATAAGCTGCGTATCCGGGTAAAATACGCATAGAAAATTCTTCATTTTACGCATTGAAAATAATTGTTGCGTACCAATTACGTATTTAAATGTTAGATACGCAAGTTTAAAACAAATGCGTACGGAATATATTTATAAAAATTTCTTGCGTAATGAAAATGACATCGATTGCTATCAAGTTGTACCTTATTGTTATAGGGCAAATTGTACTGTCAGTATAGGATGAGTGATTTCCAATATATTTAAGTTGGTTTTGATTAGGTATGACATAAGGCAGAACCTACCTGCTTAGTAACCTTACTCAATGACATATACTTAGGTGAGTAAAATGACTGAAATACGCATATATTTGAAAGCAGGGTAACAGAAAATGAAATACCCACCAACATTCATAATACTCCACCTTAAAATAATACAGTGGGTACAGTACCCACATGAGCTAAATCTTATCTGAGTTCTGCCATTACTTCATATGGTAATAATAATAATGGACATGTATAAAGGGCCTGTATCCACCTCGCTTGTGTCATGCTCAAAGCTCGAGACATAAGTATCCTGGTTAACCTGAGGCGCTATAGAAAGTTAACAGTCATATGACTTATCCGTCTATATCCGATATTTTTATTTTTCTACTTTTGCCATCATCAAACTTGAATACTTTCTTTGTCCGTCAGTTTAGCTACTGGTACAGTACAAATTCCGTTCTGATAATCACTGTAGGCGTTTTGTGCAACTAAACATGCCTATTGTTTCCTTTGGTTACAACAGTATATTACATGAGGCGTCCTAGTCTTATACACCCTGAATTGACACGCAGTCTTAATCAGTTGAGTATTTATGATGCAAGTTATTGACCGATCTATGGTGTACGTGATATGGTGTCCGTGTGTGTGCACCAAACATAGACTCACACCACGGCCACATTACTCATCTAATCTGACCCGAGTGACCGGTAGCCCACTAATCCGTCTTACCGACATTCTTTCGTAAGATAGGGAATACTAGCATATGTTCGCTGTTTCGCTGAGTTAAAAATCCCATTAGCAGATGACGCCAAAAAAACCCCGAGTTATTTATTATAGGATATTTATATAGCGCACATATCCACGCAACTAGTTCATGCTCAAGGCGCTGGTATTTTTCCCCCATGATCATTGGATGTCAATGTCAACGGCACATTGCATTATCAACTTCAACTCCCCGTGGATCATACAACTCTTGCAGCCACTGGAAATGAAATGAAATTGTAAAAGTGTTTTGTATATACTTACTATAACCACTTTTCCAGCGCACTTTGACGTTGCCGACGCGTTGCAACTCATTTACTGTGACCTTCGCTGTGAAGGACATTGGAACTGCCATGCGCTCAACTCCGTCAAGTTTGACAACCTTGTATTGTCAAAGTTTGAGAAATGCTTTGACAAAACTATTGTCAACACATATCCTGTGTAAAACGCGTGGTTAAACTATAAACATGATCGTCAACACTATCTAAAATATCATATCTGAAGAAAGCTTGTTTTAAACCAATCAGTATATAGACTCGCAATGTTGTCAGCAATAATAACATGGGTTGTCATACTGACAACTCTCAATGTTCAAACTGACAACTTATAATTGTCTAAGCAATAATGATAACGCTAAAATTGTCAAATTGACAACATTTTATTTTTACAGTGTAGGCGCTTTCATCCTTACGAGGTACCCATTTACAGCTGGATGGACTGGGACACATAGTCACAATACTTTGTCCAAGTTATTTGCACGTTGTTGTACCCGCAACTAGGTGTTTGCACGTATTCATGTGGCAACCATCTGGTCATATACCAATGGATTCATGGGTTCTTTTAAATGCACAGGGTTGTGACAACACTGGAAAGAGTCTGCGCACAAAGTTATTTCCTTTGTCTCCAATGTACTCGGATAAACCCGTTCAATTGGAGAACTGGGGCGATGGGGTACCCCCCTAGTGGTTAAGGCGTTCACTCGTCACGCCGAAGACCCGGTTCGATTCCCCACAGAGGTACAATGTGTGAAAGCCATATTTCTGGTGTCCCCGCCGTGATATTGCGGGAATATTGCTAAAAAACTAAACTCACTCACTCATTTGAGAACTATGCATTGGTATGCGCGATAAACTCACCTATAAGATGAGTTCCAATACTCGCAGAATACATGGAAAATGCCTGCTATTTAACCAACCGCGGAAGTTGGTATTTAACGTATCTCCTAAGGCATTACGAATTGTGCCCAACAGACAATAACGGCATCTTCCCAATGGTATCTTTGTCAGTGATTGTATTTGATTTCCAAACAACTGATGAACCTGAGTTGACCAAAGTATACGTCTAGGTGCCAAGAGTCAATACCCTGAGGTACTCTGGTTAGCAACGTTCAGGCGACGTCTACGGTGTAGCTTATAGGTTATATATACCTAAAATATCCGTTTTGTTAAATATAATTAAGCTGGTTGATGGTATATATGTAGAGTGATATGCTTGAAGGAAATGTTTCTTTCGATCTTTGACATAAATATTTTCAGATACATACTGCAACTTTAACGTTGATTTTGCAATTGTTTGATGTTCTATGCGGTTTTTATAACTTTCTTATCTTTTCACATGCATTAAGTAGAGCAGGTAAAATGGCAGGTTTTTGTCACGCAATAAAAGACTTGTTAACCACCTAATGATGTGCGTTATAGCAATGTATATGGCTGTTGAGGTCCTCCTGACTGCCATGTTTTTCTATATCTAAGACTGCATTTTAAGCGTTTTATTTGGGTTTCTTCGCTACGCTGTACTTGATTAGCACTGCATGGTTACTCCAGATAGGTTCTAATGAGGCCCGGGTGCCTGGATTGTGGTAACCTCACATTGTAATAATCGAACCGGGCGCGTAGCAAGCCATATTTTTCGCGAAAGCCCGATAGGTCGTAAAGCTTTATAATTAGATAGTA